GAACGTATCCACTGCACTATAAAACCGTGTTAAAAGATTTTCATCATTCATCAATATTAAAAAAAAGTATCTCCTAAACTTTACAACCACATTAATAACTTATCATCTTTTAGTTATAATCTTTGGAAGATTAAATAATAATGTTTACCACCTTGTTTGTTTTTTTTTGAGTTAATTAAAATCTAGCAACATTTAGACATAAAAAGTTAAAATTTTTCTAAATTGAAAATGTATTTCCAATAATAATTAGTTCTGCTGACACTTATAGCTATTAATCGACCTCCAGGATTACTTCCTTTGCCCATCTAAGCATTGGTCTGATTTTTTCTCACTTGCTTCAGTCTTTTACACCCCACTCAATTGCCCTTGACAATATTTGTCTTGTGATACTCACCACCTACGTCAATGCACCCTCTCTCCTGGTACTTTATATAAGCCCCTCATTCAGATAATGTTATCACTTTTTCGAGACTGACCCAATCCCAGTCTCTAACACCAGCTTTTAGTGGGAAGAAAGGGCAGGAGAATGTCAGCAGAGGTTAAGTATTATGAAAATACATTTTCAAGTTAGGAAAATGTTAACTTCCAAATCATACTTGCCTCCCCTCACATTTACAGCTAGAATCCCACATTGAGAAGGTGGAGGGGCTGGTGAGGGCATTATCCATATAGAAAGCATCTACACAGATCATGGGTGTGCCAAGAGAAGATTGGTATCCTATTTGGAGAACCACACTACATCCAAAACAGGTATGTTCTTCAACCTGAACTTAGTTCCTGTATCAATGGTGGAATTGTATACGAGTGATCATCACTATAGGCCAACCCCAACCAGATAGCTGAGGTTCCACTACTCGAGGTTGGAATTAAGTGGTCCTGGTCCCTATATCCCACATCATTGGTTGCTAGGGCAAGTGGACCACAACGTTACATACAGATATACTTTTGATTGGATCCCAACCTGTAGCCACAGGGTGATGTGTTCTGAATCACCGGAATCACAACGAGAATGTCAGCAACACCTAAGCGAACAAACCTTCTCCTCCTCCTGAAGAAGTCCAAAAGGCAACACCCCAGGCTTAGAATAATGGGATCATGTATGCCTTACTCAACCAAAAAAAAATAACTTATCTTGTATGTAATTATGAACACTCGTCCTCACTCCCCAACCAAGTGGGCAAGGAGCCTTCCACTTGCCCCCAGAATTATGGGGAGAATGTGGAACAACTGTGCTCAACAAAAACCCAGGATTCAAATTCGATGACAAGGAACCCACTTTCAGACTAATAATGGTTGGAGACAGCTTGAATGGGTAATGAAGAAATACTTTAATATAAGTTTAACATAACAACAAATGTACCTGATGATGACAAAACCTTGTCGAAACATTGTATATTTGCTGTTATGTTAAACTTATATTAAAGTTTTTCTTTATTACCCATTCAAGCCATCTCCAACCATTATTAAAAACCCAGTATGTGACCACTCCAAGTTTGGAATTACAAGGAGATAGTGGATCCCCTTCCATGAACAATGTACCGAACCAATATTGATCAAAACGAAGGGCCATGCACCCCCAACTTGATAGCTAAACATCAAATCTGAACTGGTATTACAAGTAGGCTCCTGCATAGGCTGGTGCCGCTCCTACCAACATTTGGGAAAAAACACCCAGGGACCTGGGTAGGAGGGCCCCCAACGTCACCCTCTTCTCCAAGAGTGGAGGAATTCATTCTAACACTCTGGAGGAAAAGCCTCTGTCCACCATCCCAGTGACTGGAAACTGGATGTGGTAAGGACTCCCTAGATCCAGTAGTAGAATCTGGGGGGGTAATGCACATTGGCCAGCCATGAGGAACAGTGCTCTGGAATCAGTGCAATAGGTAAACCAAGTTCCCTAAATTTTTAAAAGCAAACCGACCCCAATTTATTCAATCTGATGATGAGCAAGGATGGGCAGGATCCATTTTAGCTTTACTCATGATAGTCAATAAGTGGCAGTCCAGCATAGTATAGTAATACCAAGAAGCTCTTAGGTGGTCTTATGGAACACCTCATTCCTACAGAGCCTGTTGAAACTGGTAGTAATTATAGTGAAATAGTGCTGCTAGTGCAGAATTGGTTTGATAAAAGCACACATTCCTGGGCAACACTTGCCACAGAGTGGGATCCAGTGAAAAAGAAAAAGAGGTAATGGATCCTGAAAAGTAAAGAGACAAGAAGAGTAAAACAGATGTGGTCAAAATGGCTACATGGGGTAGGTGTAAATAATGGAAGAGAAAAGTATTGAGAGAAGTCCACATACCAGCCCTCATGATGTCCTCCAGTGGGCAATTCAATCAGTCAGCTAAAGGCATAGAAATGTGACATGCAGAAGTTTCATTGCCTGTAAAGATAATCCAGAATAAGCAATATGGATCAATTTGCAAACCCACCTTGTCAAGGTAATCGGGGATAAATGTGGGAAACTGAAGGATCCCAGTGAATAAAAAGTCAATTTCTAGCACCTCAAAAGGAGTTAGTGCGAGCCACATAACAAACGATCGTGGTCCTAGTGGTCATAGAGCTGAGAAGTAGCCGGCAAATGAATTGGTGAAAAGGATTTATCCCCTTCCCTAGCTGCCAGTCTTAGAAAGGAAGAACCTATCTGGGTATAGCAGGACATAAGTAGAGTGATAAAGAGCCCTAAGCACATGCAATGAAAACAACTCTAACCTATGACATCGACATCAACAAAAAATAAACTTTAAGTGAAAGGTGATACGTAGTCACAAAGCTAAATGTATGTCGAGACGAAACATGTAACACTACCTTATATTTCAGTTAGGTAACATAAAAGATATTTTGGGACGAAGGACGCAAAATGATTTGAGAAGGCCAGATAGCACTGGGGGCCCAAAATATTTCCAAAGTTTAGAATACTAAAAAGTAGTCAATAAAGCTGCCTTATATAAGGCAATAGTAGACGGAGGTAGACCTTTGTCAAGAAGCCAGGTTCGAAAAATGAAATGTGGCTGGCACACTTGGGTGAAGTGAGTTCAAATTCCTCATGAGACATCATTGGCAATAAGTGTAGAATTTCCATTAATAAATGGCCATTGTGGGTCTATGGAGAAATTGAGACAAATACAAGGCAACTTTAGAAATTAAACTCGATGTTGTGAGAAGGACCCCATAATTTACATGCATGAAGTCTGAGCTAAATGTCAGATTGAGGTTGCCTCAACAGAGATGGCCAAAGAGGAAGTGATAAAGGTGGACACTCTTGAAGATAATGAAGAAAACGAAACCATGGTTGGGCCAGCCAATCTGGAGCTACCAACAGCACTAGACAAGAAGTGGATTGAACCATAGCCAGAACACTGCGTAACAGATAAATAGGGGAGAAGGCATAGGGGTGTAATTCTGTCCAAGGATGAGTTACAGTGGACCAAAATGCCTGTTGTTGAGAGTTCTAGTAAGTGTTGAATGTATTGATCATTGGAATCCCAAACTGAGAGCAAATCCACTAGAAAAACTTGTGATGTAGCATGCATTTGGTCTGTAGAATTTGATTGGGCTGAAATAGATGATCTACAATTAAATTCATCACCCCCAGAACATGGCAAGCTAGGAGGCTGATATGAAGGGAGTGAGCCTAGTAGAGAATATCCAAAGTTTGAAAACAAAGGTTTCCACTTGATGGAAAATGTAAGATATCACCATTGAATTGTTGGAATGAATCATGACAATTTTTCCTTTCAATAGAGCTAAACCTTGGGCAATTGCAAGAAGTTCTATAATATTGATGTGAAAAGAATATTCGTTGTCTGCCCATTGACCCTGACCGTTGATATATGCACCCCATCCCTGAAGTGAGGCATCTGTGAAGAATTTTGGGATGAGGGGGTGGTATAGGAACACCTATTGTAGTGTTGTTCTGATCCAACCACCATTCAAGATCTAAGATGTTGCTTCTAAATAAGGAGGCTGGATAATCCAGTCGATATTAGTTCATGATCCATTAGTTGCCCAGTGACCATTGAAGGGATCATACGTGTGCTTGTTTCAAAGGAATTAAGAGAATCAAGGGGTGCCCACATCCCCAAAAGAGAGATGAAGGAGATGTGAGTAAGAATCTGACTGCCTGTTCCATATCATGGAGCCATATGGGTGTTGGCTAAGCCTAACTTAAATACGTGTTAAAAAAAGACACCCAGATGGACAATGTATTGAGTCGGCATGAGAATGGATTTGTTGGCTCTGATAAGAAAGCCAGCCATGGTGGCTTATGAAAGGAGAATCTGGGTGTGCAGTTCTGCCAACTGATGAAATGGTGTCATCCATATAATGGTGTGTGCACAGGCCTAGAAAATGAAGGTGATGAGAATATGCTCATACTATTCTGCAGAACACATATGGTACCAATGCTTGTCCGACGGGCAGAGCCTTGAACTGCAGTATCTAACCCTTGTGCACAAAATGTAGATAGTAGCAGGAAGACTCCACTATGGGAATGTGGCAACATTGAGCTTGGTCATCCACAGTCCTGGTGAAAAATGCCAACCTAGGTTGACAAAGGACTCCATCGAAGATCTAAGTGGTTAAAACGAGAAAGATCGATGATCAAACACCAATCTCCCATGTTCTTGGACACAAGAAATAAATAGGAATAAAATCCCAGAAGAACGGGATCAACTCTCTATACCACCCCCTTGACCAATAACTCTCTGATAGCCCTGGAATGAAGATCCACACTACATGGATCTGTTGGGGGAGGAAATACCACAGGTTGGGAGGATAATGAAAGTGGAGATGTGAACTAAATGACCAACCCTGATGCCAGAACTTTAAGTACCCATAGATCTGTGGTGAAGGTATTCCAGGCATCTGGAAAATGTTGTAAACACACTCCCACAGACCCCACCAGCATAGAGTAGTCACTGATGCCACTGGCGACGATCTGCCCGAATGGAGGAGCCTCTTGGATAAGAATGGAATCTATTCTGAGTACCAACAAATTAAGAAGCCGAAGCTGGGAATTGGGACACATGACGAGCAGTAGTGCCATGACTTCCAGTAGGAGCCAAAGAAGGTTGAGAGGCCAACGACGACAAGGAAGAATGCAAATGGGTGACATCAATCTGTGATTCAATGCCTGTGAAATGCCCACAAACATCAAGGGATGAAAAAAAGGAGCCTCACATAACTCAAGAAGGGTGGCAGCAGATAGACAAACTCTCTCCAACAAAGCATCTCTACCCAGTAAGTCCAAACAACATACAAGCCAGGAAACCAAAGAAAGAGCAGAAGCTTACTAAGGTAGAAGTCAGCAAAGGACCTAATTCATTATCAAAATGATGTGGGTATCACCAAGAGGCTTTCTACAAAGTTTGTAGGGACGATAAATATCTCAGAACAGTAGTGAGGGTCTGACGAATCCAAGAAAATTGTGACCTGTTTAAAGTGATCACAGGCTCCATTCTGGAATTCCACATCTCCACAAGTGGATCAAGTCTTTGGGAATCTAAATATACATCTTCCTGGCAATGGTAAGCCAAAGCTTGCTGTTCCAACAAACATGGCAGACAAGGTATAGCCATCCCTTCATGTAACTTAGTAGTAAACTCCCTGCATGAACTGCAATATTAGGTGATGGAGGAAGAGCTAAGTATTCACCCTCAAACCTTTTAATAATCAAGGAAGGAGCAAATTCAAAAGCAATTAGGGAAAGCCTCAGAACCTCACAAACCCAACTGACTAACTGAAGAAAAGGAACTGGAGGTAATGGATCCAAACTAGCCTCATGAGAAGCCGATCAATAAAGGAAGGCATGAGAAAAAGAGAATCTAAATTCTCTCCAGATTGTCGAGGATCGCCTCAGAACTCCCCAGAGGGATACTTCCAGACCGAATATATGTCTCCATCTCACAACGAATCAGTTATGGACAGCCTCAACTGATAGTGTCCCCCCCCCCTCCAACTGTTGAGAGATGCTGGAGGAGGAATAGAGGAGGCCTGATTAGCTTACATGCTGGAAATAATAACCTGGGAATTCATGGCAGAAAATGGCGTGCAATGAACAAAAGGATTTTTTTAAAGATTTATTAAAATATTATTGAACAGAAATCAACTAGGTGATGTGGAAATCGCAACCAAGGATGTTAACTATCGCAGCACTTCTTCAGAGAAACCTGTGTCTAAACGCTTTGTCGAGAAAAAGTTATAACATTATCTGAATGAGGTGCTTATATACAGTACCAGGGTAGAGGGCGCATTGATGTAAGTATGGCAATTGAGTGGGGTATAAAACACTGGAGCAAGCGAGAAAAAATCAGACCAATGCTTAGATGGGCAAAGTTGAAGTAATAGCTATAAGTGTCAGTGGAGGTAAGTAAGTTTTGGAATAATAGCTTCATTTAGCAGTTATGAAGGTCAAGGTTTCTGTTAGCGTTACACAATCTAAGTGTTAAAAAAGAAGGGTTAATGTATGTTGGTCTTGATGTAAACTCTTACAAAAATAATTGTAAACATTCACTATTATATACAATTTTAAAAGAACTACTGTTTAAGTTTTTGTTACATACCTTTTATAATCACTCTTACTTTTTAACTGCTAACTGTCAACTTCAAAACCCAATAGTTAGTTTCTGTAGTTCATCTTGGAATACAGAGGACATTTTAATTATAGAAATAAATTATGTTATAACACCAAAATTGCTTTCTTATTACTTAATTGGACATTCAACTGTTTGTTTTACAGCATCTACAGGAGCATTCCACTAAAATAGCTTTGTCAGTTCAATTTGTATATTACTGGAAAGCTGCTGAAAAAGCTACAAAGTGAAATGTTGAATGCCCAATAAAATAAAACAAATTTTGAGAGTTACAAGATCATCTATCACGAGAACCAAAAATCGAAAAGTGTCGGATATAATGAAGAAGATATAATTGACTAGTTGGAGATATATAAATGTATTACCTTCACAACACACTGCTGCTAAGTCTGCTCCAGTAAAACCATGTGCTGCTTCAGCTAAAGTAATTATGTCTGCATCTGTTAACAGGTGTTTCACTCTTAGCAACAGCTTTGTTAGAATCTTTAAAATGAAGAGATTATCAAGTGAGAAATATATATACCCTTTAGCAGGTTGCATTCAACTACTGAATAAAAACTTACTAGATTGAATAAATTATCTCTTTGTACTCACTTCACAAGCTCTGTTTACCTAAAGCAGTCCATATATTATACATGAACTGAAATGCTTATTTAACCCTATCATTACGGGTCACACGTCAAAGGCCATGTTATCGTGTTTGTTGACTCGCATTCAAAATTTTATTGAACTACTATTTTATGAATGTATGTCAATAATTTTGGTATCAAATTGTAGATTATATTTCAAATTTTAGTATTATACATTAGTCAATTTCTTAATTTAAAAGCAAATAATAAAAAAACCCACCTAAATATCAATTTTTGTGTGTTATGTGGCATGTTGAATACAGTATTGGTTCAAATTAGATGTTTGTGATGTTCAAGTACAAAGTCTATAGTTTCTTATGAATTAGGAACTCAAATTATCAATATTGACATGCTAGAATCTAAAATAAGAACCTCCTATCTTTACTACTTGCTGAGATATCGCTACATTAACTGAATATAACACAGTGTTCCCGTCTCCCTGTTTCCATTTTTGGAAACGCTTCTGTACACCTACTTCTGTCTATGAAGTGTGAATAACCAATAGAAAGCTTAGAATGTGTCTCAAGTGGCTTTCTCAGCCAATTTCAAGTAATCAGACAGAAAATTCTTTCTTTTTATGCTAGAATCCACACGGTAAGGTAAGACTTTAGTGAGCTCAACATTTCATATTTTTTAGACCAAAATACAGCTTAGTTATTACTAAGCTTGATAAATTATAGTGGAATTCTATGGTATTGATATAGTAATTCATTGCATTTGGTTATTTCAAAATGTATATATAAAACCTAAAAAAATTATTTAATTTCACATCCTCCATGTGCGAAAATTTTTATAAGGCTTAGCAACCTACATCAAGCAGCAAACGAGTACAAAGTTCATAACTAGAAGAGATAATTGTTTGCTTTACTTCTTTATTTACTGTTCTATGTTTTAAGAAAAATAAGTTTAAGAATTTATTTGTAAATAGTAATAATGTATATACATATATAATGTATTATAACTGAAGTATTATAACACAGTTAAGACAGGTCACTTTGTAAGCTTTATATTCTTAAATTCGGTAACATGAGTGCACATGCATCGAATCATTGCAACTTTTGTATTGTTAGCTAGGCATGGCTGAAAGGTCAATATAATAAAAATAATAAATATATATAAATGTATAATTCTATGAGATTAAAGCTATTTAGACTAAACATTTGTATTTTTGTGTTATAACCTGTAGTCATTCTAGAACAAAAAAAGCATAATTTATATTTATTTCCTAATTTTTTATGGTGGTTATGCGGTCGGTCAAATCGACCCAATCCATACAGAGATGCAGTAGTGAAAATAACAGATAAAATAAAATATAGTTTTTTTTCTAAAAAACCATTTGATAATTATTTGGAGGCTGTAAAGATTTTGTATGTGAAATTTGAAAATGTTCTGATGCATAAAAGTATTTTTAATCTTAAAATCTAAATTACTTTGTATGTTGGATAGTCAACATTCGAAAAAAAAAAAGGCACGATGAAAACATTACTAAAGAAATTTTAAAACTTAATAAAAAAAATTCTGATATTTTGTGTATAAAAGTATTGTAATGTTTACTGATAATCTGCAAAATGTTGTAAAGACAGGCATACATTATCGAAAATAATAGTATAATTATTTTCATGGATAGTTTCATGGTTACGAGATGGGTTGATCCCACCCATCCTGTACATGAACTGAAATGTTTATCTAATGTAGTACATATCCTGTACAAGAACTGAAATGTGCACCTAATGCAGTACATATCCTGTACATCAACTGAAATGTTCACCTGATGCAGTACATATCCTGTACATGAAATTAAATGTTCATTTAATGCAGTACATATCCTGTACAAGAACTGAAATGTTCATCTAATACAGTAAATATTCTGTACATGAACTGAAATGTTTATCTAATGCAGTACATATCCTGTTCATCACAGATCAAAATCAAGAAATAGTTTAAAAACTAAATTCATTTCTTGTTGATCAAGACTACTAACCTCAATTCTTTCTGTTGCTGTAGGAATTCCAATTTCAATTTCTCTGTCCAGCCTACCTGGTCTTCGTAAAGCAGGTTCTAAAGCATCTGGTTTATTAGTTGCGGCCAAGAGTAACACTCTTCTTATGCCATGTGTCTATTGAAAACATGCAAATAAAGTCTGTACCAACATTTTTAAAGAACATGAAATTCTGCCAAAAGCTCATCAATAAATTCTGAAATGTTTTACATACTACTACAGCCTTAAAGAATGAAATTTCTAACTTGTTTATTTTATAACCACTGTATTTCTGAATAACAGTTTGGCTATTTATTAAACTGAACAATTGTTTTTCATGTGGAGATCCAAGATTCAGAAACATGATTAAATACTAGGACTATTCAGAACATCTTGCAAAGTTAATGGTTAGGACAAACAAGGTAACCTTCAAGCAAGTCCAACAGAACTCTCAACTGTACAAGTCCACACCAACATGTGTTAAAGATGACCTTGATTTCTCACATGTAAATTGTTTCAACTTTAGTACCAATAAAGACATTATAGTCTTGTTTCACTAAAGTTTGTGTGTATTGGTTTATAGTCTTGTTTC